TGTACCACGAGTCGATTAACTTGCTCAATTCTAGAGTGTTTGCTTCGAAATCCAACCTGGTGGTCCAGGAGCGGTTTGCTTTCTTCTATGATCGGGTTCATTCTGGGAAGAATAATTTTTTCTAAAATTTTTGAAAAAATTGGCCGCAAACTAATAGATCTATAAGAAGTAACTTAATCTAGATTTTTTCCAGGTTTTCGTAAGTCTATGATTTGGGCCATTTACTAAATCTCCGGAAAGTAACATAGCCGGAGCGAGGCATAGTAAATTATCATGGTGCGTCTCATTATTTTTTCTGGAAGTTTCTTGACCATCTTAATGCTTGTATTGTCTATTCCTGGAGCTTTTTTATTTTTAATTTTTGTCACTAGATTAAGAACTTCTTCCAGCTTTATTGTTTTTGTGTGAACATCCGACTCCATGTATGAGCTGTTTAGCAATTGTTTATCTTCTAGCTCAGATATTCTTCTTTCATTTAGAGTAAAAATATTGCTAAAGTGGTTCGCGAAAATTATTGCTTTTTTTTACTGTCTTTTACCCAGCTTTCAAGGGGTTGATGGATAGGCGGAATGAATTGTTGAGGATTTCTAATATTTCAGGTGGCCTTCCGAAATGAATAGTCCGGGGAAACTGTGGGTTAAAGATCACTCAGAAATTTTTCCACTTTCTGATTCCTTTCTTGATACATCATATCCTTTAATTCTGTAGTTGCAAGATTCAGCTTTATTTTGTCTCTCCAGTGTCGAGTTTTCTGCCATTTTTTTCCTAAGGTTTTTTTTCACGAATTTTTCAGACTATTTGGCCTGATTGGTTTTGTAATACCTTCTTGTTTGTTGTAGTAGTAGATTTGTTTAAAGCTTCTTTGATTAATACGTTGAATTCTACTATGTTTTTTTCTATTTTATGGTTGGTTTTAAGAGATATGTTGATGTAAACGAGTTCTTTTATGTGATATTTAAATTTGGTCTAGTCTGTAGTTTTTGTTGCATATTCTTTCTTTGCTATTTTAGCATTTAGTCTGATTATTATTGGAAAGTGTACCGATGTTAGATCTAAGCATGAGCTTACTTTAAAATAGAAAGGGTTTTATACCTTTCATTATTGCGAAGTTAATGAGGTCCGGTAGTTTGTTAAGATCTGAAGGCTTCCCGGTTGATATGGATGTACAATTATTTTTTCTTATTGTCTCATACAGTTGTTTATCCTTTGGGGGAAGGTATAGAAGCCCTACAGCCCTACCACAGGTATTTCACGGTGAAATCACCACCAGCTGTGAACTTATGGCCTAGTATGCTGAAATAAGAAATGAAACCATCATTACTGGTTAAATGGTTAGGTGAGCAATATATTGCTGAAAGATTGATCGGTACATTCTTGTTATTATGATGTTTGTAGCTTGAAATTTTTTGTCTGATAATTAACAGTTGGGTAATTATTTATTGATGCCTTAATAACGATAGCTGTGCCTCCATGTGCTTTATTGTCTGGATGATCTGATTGATATACAGTAAATTTTGGAAATTTGAAATAGTGTTTACTCGTAAAATGAGTTTCCGATCAGGATAACATCTATTTGCTCACTAGTGAGAAAGTTTTCTAGTTCTGGTTTTCTTTGTATCAGTCCATTAGCATTTCACGTAACTATATCTAATTAATACATTATTATGAAATTTCATTGATTAATATTGACAGCAGATTCAGCATTATGTCCATTTTATCCATGAGTTTTGTCATCATTTCTTCCATCTATTCTTCATTTTTTGTTACAGTTTTTTCTGGTTGTTGAACAGGAGTGTTGTCTGGTTGTTGTACTTGAGAGGGATCTATCTTTTGCTTTCCTACTACAGCTAGAGCGTAAATGGTATTTGTCTTCTCTGATTTTCTAATTGTCTTATTTACTCTGTTGTTTGTTTCATTGTTAGGATCTGACGTTCTTGATTTATCCCTCAGCGCAGGGAACAGTTTTTGTTGAAATTGCTTATCTACTGCACAGCCTCTGTAAATAGCAGGATGATTGCCCTTGTACTTAGTACATATTACTTTGTTTGTTTTTCCATTTACTGGGCAATTTTTTATACTACGATGTTCGGCATATTTGACACAGACAGAAGTCTTGCTGTAGTAGTTTTTGGTAAACCCGTATTCTAGACAATTTAAGCATTACAGAATTTCTCTATGCTTTTTTAGAGGCTCAAATATTACAACTATGTTTAGTAACCTGTTTACTTCGAAGATGCTTTTATTATTGCTGCGAGTTTCCAGTTTTATTGCAAAAAGTAGAGTTTGTGCTTTTGTTAACCTGCTATGAATATTGATAATATTCATAGGACTATATCTATTTTTTTCCAACTCTGTCTTCAGTTCATTTATATCCGATGACGGGTGCATCCTTTTCAGTACCACTTTGTAATCTTTGTCCTGTTTACGTTGTTAAGTATAAAATTGTGTTCTCTTTTCTTTTAATGCATTTACTATTGGTAAGTATTTTTCTGAATCGTTTGGTCGAATTCTAATCTTATTGTTGTAGAGAACTTTAATGGTATAGTTGTTTTTTGCTATTCTATTTAGTAATTTTATAATTTTGACTTCTTCTTCATTTTTATTTTTGTCATTTTCTAATCTCAACGGCTTATATTGTTTTATAGTACCAGCCAGTTATCGAACGTGTAGGTAGAACGCTTATTTTGTTGCTGCGAACCGTTTTCAGGGCTATACCTCTGCCGTTTTCCATCGATTTTTTTCCAGTCTTTCTTTTCATTATTTGAGGGCAAGATATCCATTATAATGTTTTTATAGACTATAAAAGCCTATTTAATATTGTATTTGATTCTCTCTACTATATTTGTTTGTGATCAGTTCGTCACTGTCAGCCTATTATAGCCAATCTGCTTTGCACTGTAATTAATCCTTTTATTTACTTAAGTGTCATTTTCACTTTCTCTGATTTGTTAGATTTTCATACTGGAGCAGATGTAAACACGTTCTCTCGGTACGGAATCTTACCTAAGACCAAAAAGACGATCTAGAAGATGTTATTAAAAAAAAAAAAAAAAAACAATGTAATGTCTTGTTTGTCACGTATATTACTGAAAATTACATCAATTAAGCTTATTTTAAACGAAAAATAGTAAGTTGGAATTCTAATTTCGCCATAGAAACATTTATTTAAATATGATATAACGTAAAAGAAAATTATAAGGAAACTTTTGCAGAATCCTGGATATTATTTTACTCTTTATAGTATTGCGGTCAATCTACAAGTTCTTGACGGATTCGCGTCTATGTCTGCGTCTCGTGACCACGAACTCTGATGAATTAAATATAGGATTTAATATTGTTATATTGTATATTGAGATTATAAGAGATTTTTAACAAAAGGAAAATATTCATGTACTTACGTTACTACTTTTAAAAAAGTAATTTTTATGATTGGTGACTTAGTGGCACAGTGGACTATGTCTGGGTCTCTCAAGCTTGCGAACAATTCCATGTAGTACTTGTGTTAATTTATGGAATAATTCAATAATTTAATTGATATTTCCAAAATTATAGAAATAACGATTGATTCATATCTCGCAATCCATTGCTTAACCATTAAAGGCCTGAAATGGCATTAATTCCATGTATTTTTTAAATGCTACGTTTGTTAGAAAAAAGTTTCCCACTGCTTCTTAACATTCATATCCTAAAGTAATTTTCCATGCTCTTTAAATATGGCGTCTTAAACGTAAAAAAGTGGAAAATGAAACATTTATTCTTTTAAATAATAATATATTTGAACATGTACGCATTTTTTCATTAGTTTTGGTGTTCATATTGAAATCGCCATATTGAAATTTGTCTAATTATCGATTCTATAATTCAGATAAACATAATATGCCACCGAATACAGAGTTTCAGGACACTACGTGAATATGTGCAAGTTCAAATATATTATTATTTAAAAGAATAAAGGTTTAATTTTTCACTTTTTTACATTTAAGACGCCATATTTAAAAATGACGGCCAGATGGCATTAATCCGAGGTCAGATTCAAAAAGAACATGGAAAATTACTTTAGGGTATGAAATTTAAAAAGCAGTGGGAAACTTTTTCTTAACAAATGTAGCACTTCAAAAATACATGGAATTTATGCCATTTCAGGCCTTCATATATTAAATATTAATTAGTAATTGTATTACAAATTTATTCAATTATAGGTCATTAAAAAAATAATGTTTTCAACATAATATGTCTGTGGTTCAGAATCACGTGTAGACACACTAAAACAAAAATGAACAATTCAGAAAACTTAGGATAAAGAAAAATTATATGAATCTTTGAACACTTTTTTAGTTGCCGATAAAATTAAATCATCTATGAATTTAAAATCAATATAACTGCAAAGATTGATATAAATAACTCAAAGCATGAGAATGCAACTATTCTGAAACGAAATATGTAAAAAGTAATCACCTACTCAAAGATATTTCAATTTTGATAAAAAATTATCATTATTTCATTTACGTAATTGAAAATATATACGGATTTCCATCCAATTGATTTAGATAGTGTTTAAACCAAAAAAAATATTTATTACTTTGTCTTAAATAAATGAAACACTAATATTTTAAAAATTAAATGAAGTTAGCTGATTTTAACGAATATGAATGTATTTTAAATTTCTTGAGATATAGATTATGAACTTTTGAATGTTTATTCAATTTGTTCATTTAGATAAGATTTGATTTTCAGCCTTGGTTATAAAAAAGACGAAATGAAACTACAAAATTAAGGTACAAAAATACGGTTAGGGTAAATCAACCTAAAAGATAGCCTCATAAGAAAAGTCAACTTGACAGTCTTTTTTCAATTGATACAACAATAGCTTGCGTATCATACGTTTACTTTCCTTATAATCAAATATTTCATTCCCACCTAATCTTACGGTATGTATGCATATATGCAAGTAAAATATTGTACAATTGTTTATGATAATGAATTCTAAATATAATTTACAGGTTATGGTAAAACACATAAAGATGCTGCTAGTGTACGTACAACGCATCCCATCCCTGCTGCTTGTGGATTATATTATTTTGAGGTGAAAATCGTGAGCAAAGGTCGGGATGGGTACATGGGTATTGGACTTTCTGCTCATGGCGTAAATGTAAATAGATTACCTGGATGGGACAAAAACTCTTACGGTTATCATGGAGATGATGGACATAGTTTTTGTTCATCGGGTACTGGACAACCATATGGGCCAACTTTTACTACTGGTGATATCATCGGTTGCGGGGTTAACCTAGTTGATAACACTGCTTTTTATACTAAAAATGGACATCATTTAGGCATTGCCTTTACGGACTTACCAGTAAGAAATAATTCATACTGTTTCATATTAAAGTATTGATGAATTTTTAATAAATATTTTAATTATAGGATCTGTCATTTGTGAGCCCTTAGCATAGTTGAATTAGATTGTGAACAGTGTCATTAGTAATATTTTATTTTATCGTCCTGATTCTACGAGATAGAACTCGCCTTTCCGAGTATTAGTGATCAACACACTTTTTTTTTTAATTTTTAGTACATTTCCCATATAATAGTTAAGGGTCACGTCAACACATGACCTCTTTTTTGACCTTAGAGTCATGCCGATAGGCGATAACAGCTTCGTGAACTATTTGATATGATATATATACATTTTTAATAATAATACCGCGTATTAACGCACTCATGCGACTTGAGTTAGAGCTTAGGATGTGTACGACTGGTTCGTAACGCTGTCTTTGGCAGTGGCGACTACAAACATTTTCTTTGTGAACGACGAGTGTTTTTCATTACCTCTTGCGTTGTACAGGATGTATTAAAAGTAATTGTACACTTGAAGAAACTTTCCAGGATCGCACTTTCCCAGAAAATTGTTCAAACAACAGTTTTAGGATTTGATCTAGAATAATAATCGATAACCTTAACTTTAACTCCAAGATCTTTTTTTAAGGTTATTTCAAGATTAATTTTTTTAAATGGAAACCCTTATTTTTTATTTCGAAAATGAAAAGAGCGGGAACCTTAGGTCAAAATGGCCTCTGAGGACCATTTGAAGGTTATAAAATTAAGGTGCACAGTAAGTTAAAGTCATTGATTATTTCTTTGGACCAAATCCTATAACTGTTGATTGAATAATTTCCTCCAAAAATAGAATCCTGTAAAATTTAACCACGTATACAGTTATATTTAGTAACCCTGTATATCTTACACAAGATGTTGAAACGGGAATTCATGCTAACGACGTTACACTAGAGATAATTTAATAGAGCGATTCTGCAAACAGCTTACAGCACAACTGCCGCTCCTGATGAAGCTATCAGTTGAATGATAACGCTGAAAGAAATATCTTGTTTTTTCCCAAATCAGCAGAAAAGTTGCTAATAAACGTTTCAAAGCCTAACCTATAACTAATATAACGAAGAAATATGATGCAAAATTCTCATAAATATCTGAAAAAGGTCTTTGTAGCTGTAGCGAGGTCGAATGAAAATATCTACTTTTTTTTAAGTGATTGATATAATTATTGTTTTTTCATAATTTCTAAACTGTTAATTGTAAAGCTGTATCGTCGGAATGAAGAATGAATCTGATAAGTTATTAGCGAATGCTTTAGGCTCTAAAATTATGAGAATATATCTAGAATTATTATCTTTAATATATAAACTTTGTTGAGAGCACAGTTACATTGGAAATGTCGAATTTTCAAAGCGTGATGTTAACATTATTTGTCCTGCCACCGTAAATTGCTGAACGATGGATAATCCTTGTTGTATTCAAAATTAATAATCTTACGAGCTATGTATCTGTGTAGAAATTTCCATTTTACTTTTCGTTATTGATAATATTCCTTACGTTCTTCATTATCTGGCGCAGGAATCTGTAAAAAGTAGATGGCGAAAATAGGTAAACTAGAGAGGCCATAACTCAGAGGGGTATCAGCTCACTGAGTTGAAGTGTCTGAGTTGAGGTGTGTGCATCTTCAGCTCAGCACTGTCTACTCACCTCACCTCCCCCCCTACTGAGCGACTCGTGAATTGTCGACTCACCTCCCCCCCCCTCCTACTGAGTTATACCAGTGCGTTCTACGCACTCACCCCTCTCCTACTGTGCTGTGATGCCCGTGCATTCTACGCACTTCCTCCTCTCTCCTATACTATGTGCTAATATGCTCTGACGCCCGTGCGTTCTCTGCACTTCCCCCCTCCTCCCCTACTGATCTGATGTGTTCGCGATGCGCGCGTTCTGTGTTTTTTAGATTTATCGGAAAAAAACGGACGGGCGGATCGGGGGATTGAACGCGCGTCCTCCGGATCCACAGGCGGATGCTCTACCGCTGGAGCCATTGTCGCTGTTACCACGTACGATTCCTATTGTGTATATATATTGGCTACACGATTGATATATGGGGGGAGGGCCCAAGCGCTAATACATACAAATGATAATAAATTTAATAAATATACTGATTATAATAATTATATTATACATAAATATTTATTATAATTGGTAATAAAAAGACATATTATTATTAATAATCATTTATTATGTAAAAATACAAAAAAATGTTTAAAAGTACAAAAAATACAAAAATATAAAACAGAGCTTATACATGTAAAAAATTTATAAAAAACTGACTTAGTTACCGTCGTTGTCGTCGTCGTTGTCGTGATCAGCGGGGAAAAATTTAGCTACTTTATAGTGCGGGGCGCCGTCGACTGTGTCGTCCATGACGCACAGGCACTTTTTCCCCGTGATCTCGCATGAGCGCAGTTGTTGGTGATCACGCGGGGCTACTCAAGGGAGTTGGCAATGGCGATCGGGACGACTGGCGCACAGCGGGGGAACTTTCGGGAGTGTACGACCGCGATGTGAATGACCGGCGCACCACGTGTCTGATCGGTCCATTCTGATCGACGTGCCGCCTGTTCCCGCACTATGGTGATGATTCCACCCCCTGTCGCTACCGACTGCAGCAATCAGTGGCGCAGTATACGCACTCCCAGCCCTCGCATACTGACATGGTGTCTTCGAGATCGTCGACCTGCAACAAAAAAATGAAAAACTTAGAACAAACTACCCTGATTAGAAAAAAAGAAAAAAGAAAAAAAATTCATACCTGTTCTTGCCGGCGGCAGGGCGTCTCTTGTTGCTCTGGTGAAACTAAGTTCACCAAGAGCGGCTGTGGCGTCGTGATATCGATGACAGGTGCTGCTCGAGGCGTCACCAGGTCGTCGTGTGTGACGCGTTGTGGTGCTCGTGGTGGTGGTGGTGGACGCGAGACAATGACATGACATACCATCTCCACGTCGTCGTCATTATCATCAGACCTGTAACAAAAGATTCTTTTTGAAAAAATTAATTCATGTATCTATATATAACAATATTAAAAAATTAATAAATATTAAATTTACACATTCACCGTCGAAGACGATCGGGAGCATGAAGACGGTGGCAGTACTTGGAGTGGCGACCGATGCCTGCTGTAATAGTGTCACATATATTAACCCTTAGCCGACACACTTCTGGTGCCAATCATAGCTGACACACTGAGCGGTTTGTTTATCATACAAAAATTCACAGTTATATATTAACTACCCTTTTTTAAGACAATATGAGTGCTATGCAAAATTTTTCAATTGAATTTGTTAAAAAAAATATAATTTACAATAAACTCGGAAAAATGACCAATTTTACTTAAAAATTCATAACAATTTCAATTTTGCGAATTAGAAGGTGAAATTTCAATATTATTCTGTCGAAACATATTGCTTTATATAAAAAATATTGTAATAGTGCTCGCTAAAAAAAAAGGTATTTATTTGAAGAATGAATATCAGAATTCCAGTCATTTTTGAAAAGTGCATTTGTTCATTACGAACTTCATTGAATACTGAATATTCACAAAAATAAATCAAGAAATGAAGAAAAATAGTCAAGTTAATCGAAAAAAAAACTTGATTATGACTTAGCCGATGAAAATATTATTGATTACATGTCAGAACACGTTTTACAAAAGATCAAACGGTGATCATCGCAAATAGGGCGCTGATAACTTGCGCTACCCTCGTTTGTTTTTCTATCTGTTTGTCGCAAGCAGTCTGCACATCTTATTCTTTTTGGCAATTTCACCCGTTCATATTCTTCTTCTTTGTGAACGGCGAGGCCCAGAATCCCGACAATGCCGACTTTTAAGTCGCGGCGTAAAGTGACCGTGTCGTTGTACTTTTTCAGTAGATACGGTCTGATCAGGTAGAATGAAAGTTTTTCAAGGCAATTGATCGCCGTACACTTATCTTTGGAATTATCAGCTTTGAGTTTGCACTTCAAGAGAATCCGAGAGTTTACGGCAGCCTGGTCAAGCATGCCGTAAAAAATTCTCATTGGCCGATTCGTTCTTCTTGTCACCGAATACGAATGGCATAGCTGATCAAAAATGTCGGTTCCTCCTTTTGTTTCATTATAGTGGTGGATAATTTTAGGCTTGCAATCTTGAATCTCTGTTGTGTGCATGTACGAAGAAAGTAGCAGTACGATTTTATTTGTTTTTGGTGTAAAACTGACCAGCGTAAGATTATCTGCATGACAGGACTTGGAGTCCGGCGGTGACTTGAAACCAACTTTCATTTAAGCTGGAATTTCTCTCTTATTCTTTCTTAGCGTTCCAGTAATTGTCACATTGTATGGTGCAGGCAACATACGCTGATGTAGAGGTACAGACATAAATCAATTGTCATAAGTTACTGTACGACCAGAGCAATGGATAGGAGTAGTAACGATACGGAAAAAATACTCGTGTATCTTTTCTTCTCGAACGATAGTCGATCCCTTGCCTAAATAGAGCACTCCATAGATCTGAAATAAATTAGATTGATATTAAAAAAACTGCTATATGTATTTCATAAAATGAAGACGAAATATGAAAAAATATTTACCAAGTATGAGGTTTCTGTATCGTTTAGCGTAATGATTTTCAATCCGTATTTGTCGGGCTTATCTTTCATGTACATCCGAAACACCCATTCGCCTCGATAACTTAATAACTGTTCGTCAACAGTGCATTTGTTGCTTGGTGTATAATACTGTTGACAGTTAATCATAAAAATATTCCAGATTTGACAAATTGCAGAAAATCTATCATTCTCATCCCTCAACTTCTTGTCGTTAAAACGCAAACAAAATGTTAGAAATGTAAATCTTTGCCTTGGAAAAACGCATCTGTAGAGCATAATGCCATTTTTTTATCCCACATTCTGTCATTATATACATCCGCAGATTTCCAAAGCCCTTGGTAACATAAGACGCCAATATATGCTCTAATCTCAT